ATATATATACATATACATATGTATATATGTATATATATATATGTATAAATATATATATATATATATATATATATAGCGCATTCGCTTTTTTAAGCGACGTTATATTCGCTGGTAGTGACCACTCAAATCGATTAGGCTTTGCGGTTGCGGTGATGTCTTGTCCGGCGACGTCTTGTTCAGTGTAGCTGTATGGACATGTGTACTCACGCTGTCTTGGTTTTTAATTCTACCGCTGCCTGCTGAGCAGCATGTTCGTATCAAGCATCTGGATCTCAACGGCGGACGTTCGAAAAGTGAGTTCATTTTATAAACTGTATGCGTTTTACCAATGTGTTGACTGCATAATATCCCGAGAGCACTGTAATCGATTGTTTTGCATTCGTGCGCGCATTCATCCTGCCGTTGTCTCATTTGCGCAACTGTGCCACCGTCAGCTGAGTGGAACATAGGATGACTTTAAATTGTACACCTGTCGGAGGAAATCAGTTGTGCTGGCCAGTGCCATTCCACCACCGCACTTCGGGTTGGGGGTTTCATATTCGTTCATATTGGCCGACTGTCAGCCAGTATCATTGTTTTCATGACCTCTCTATACTGCTGTATACACAATAATGAAGTGGCTGGTCTGCTTCCCGTGCACCGATGTATGGACTTGTACAAGTGTGGCATCGCACGTGCTTTCACTTATGGCCATTGTTGGACTTGCAGTTCTGTGGGTGATCGTTGGTGCTTGGTTGCGTCCATGAACAAGTACCGGGAGGGAAAGACGATAAAAACTTCTTACTTACTTACTCCCAGTCGATGTCCTAGTTTGACTAATGCTTGAAAGTCACCCACACGGCGAATGAACTATTCGAATCAGTTTCTACTATAGCGTTGTGACCGGTTTTGTATGTTCTGCTAGTACGCGGGCAGGCCCATGGATTTGCCAGAGTGTGCATTAATGATCCAATTTAGCTAGAAACAGTTTCAAGTGTTTTTAAGTGATATCTCCTGTGTGGCTTCAGAACAAAATCCTGCGGAAAACGCCATCACGGTAAACATCTGCAACACACGCAGACGTGATAACCCACGCTCAACCTCACCTACTTTGTCGCTTCCATTCCGCTCCCTTCCCCTTGTGCAGATCGGCGAAACATAAGCCACCGGTCTTCTCTGCCAAACACAGGCACAGAGCAACTCCCGTATGCACCTGGTATGCCATACACAGGGTCTCACGCACCCGCGTCACAGCAAGGACACGCACCCCAACCAACGGCACGTACTATGTCGCATGGCCGAACCCCACCCTCCCAGTTTCCAGGCGCACTCACAGGCGCCCATTCAGGGCCGTTGCACCTCGGAGAGCAGTTTGCTGGGTCATATCCGGGCCCACCCAATCTGGGCACACCGGCACACCCGCTTCCGCAGCATCCCCAGTCCTTGCCTATGTTGGATGGGTATTCCCACCCCGAAGGATACGCCCAGCCCCCAGAAGGATACCCCCCGCACCCAGAAGGGTACCCACCCTATGGACACCCAGGCTACGGCCCGCCCATGCACCCAAACCAGCCACATGGACCGGGCCTGATTCGGCCGGGTTTGGGTGTTTTGGGACAGCGAGAGTATTTGAATGGCCGGGGGGCAGGCACCGTGGGAGGACATCCTAGTTACTCTCAACCCCTTCCGAGGAAAATGTACAACTACCCGCGAGGCGACCCACGATCGATAGTGTACGTTGGGTGTGGCGGTGGAGGTTGTTTCGGGCCATCCTCGTCGTCTCTACTGATGTGCGTGTATACCTGTGTGAGTGCTTGTGCGTGTGCATACATGTGCGATCGTATGTGTGGGCATATGCTTGTGTGTGTGTTTGCGAGTTGCTAGTGTGTGTATGCGCGTTTGCGTCCATTACATCTGTTTACCTAATCTTGCTGTGTTTATGCATTTTATGGGTGTACATAGTATACTTTATATACAGCATATACAGCCTTGTATGTCGGCTACTGACAGCGACAAGCCCACAGGTGCTTTGTTTAAATGATAAATTTTTAAGGAGCATTTTAGGTTCAGGGCACTTTCGATGACAAGCGATCAAATGACCTCAACTATTGCTTTTAGGGTTTAGCCGAGCTGTATTTTCACTCGTATATACTCTTGAGTGTGTATTAAGAAGACCAGTCACTATTTACTATCAAAACCTAGAACACTTTCGCTCGGACAAGGACTCGCGATCAGATTTGTATGGGGAAAAGTTGGGATTGTCGGCGGGGATATTTCAAGGTTGAGTATATGCCCTTAAAATCTTCAGCCCCAGCACTAACAGTCCTCGATAGAAATACAGAACTTTAGACTCGCCCTAAATGGCCATTTTGTGCTCGTCCCTTATGTCTTGGCAGTCTCTTTCTGGCCGAAGGCGCACTTCAAATGAATTTTGCATTCACTACAGCCACCTCTATCAAATGTTATCGTTTAACGACACCATTAGGCTTTTACTCGTCAACGCAACACGTCTATTTATCAGCAAGGTACCTTTACTTCACTTCAATATACCTCCAACAGCCACCGATACGCACTAATTTAATACTAAATTATTTTCAAATAATCTCTATATACAACACAATACCACGCCTTTATGCCTCCAACAGTAACCGAGACGCACTAATTTAATACTAAATCAGCATTGAACCAATCTCTACAGACACCCCATCACAGCACCTTCTAACCTCTAAATAATGCCAAACTCACCCAACCCAATCCATCCCGCCATTGACCACACCTTCAGGCCTCCACCGGTGCTCGGCGGGCCACGCGCCGGGCCGAGCGATGCCGAGTGGACACACCACGGAGAGATTGCCCTGGGTGCAGGCACTTGGCCTAAAGGGGGGGACCGGTACTATGAATGGTCGCATCCGGTCGCCGACAGGCTTGACGGAGGACGGGGGGAGCGGTCGCAGCCGGCGGTGGGTGCGGGTGCTGGGGCTGGGTGGTCTCATGGGCCGAACTCGGCTACACTGGAACGCAAGCGCAAGCCGCGGGGGATTGCGTTGAATGAGATGTATGTGGCAGAAGGCATGGGCGTGTGGGGGCTGTTTGTATGGGTGATAGATAGATAGATAGATATCACCCCAGAGTTGCTCGTCTTAGACACTTGTGGGGGCTCGTAGGCATTGGTGTACTAGTATCGTACTTTCTTTATAGAGTGGTGGCTATGTGTGTCGTAAGATCACATTCGTTTACACCTGTGCCGGGGGATATATATATATATATATATATATATATATATATATATTATTTATATTATATATATATTGTATTTTTATATATATATATTAGTTATTATTA